AACTGTTTATATAGCTGATTACATTTGGTCATGGTATGATAATTCTCCTTATATATTGCTGGATTTGACTCACTAATTCGCTTTGTTGAATTTGTTGTTTCCATGTTAATGAGGGATATTTATAGCTTCATTGTGTTGTATTTGTTTGTATTATCTTTTTTTGTATGCATCTTTATAAGATGCAGATGCAAGTAAAGCAGTGTTAGAGGAAAATTTATAGCATTAAATACTTACTTAAAACATTTAATAATGCTATAAAAGAAGGAAAAATTCAAATCAACAATGGAGGCTTCCATCTTAAGAAACTAGAAAAAGAAGAGAAAAATAAACCCAAAGCAAGCAGAATTTTTTTTTAAAAAAAAGTTCATTAAGAACAAGAACAAAAATTAGTGAAACAAAACAGGATCTGTTTGATACCAAGTTAATGCTGGACTTATAAGATCAGTTGGGAATGTTCCATACTCTTCCATTTTCTGGGAGAAAGTGCATAGAGTTGATCTAATTTCTCTTTGAATGTTGGGGAGAATTAACCAGTGTAATCATCTGAATTCTGGAGATTTTTTTCAGTAGAATTTTTTAATTTTTAATTTTTATTATTATGAGTAGATGTGATGTTTTGATATAAGCATACAATGTGTATTTTTCTGCATAATTTTAGGTATAAATCGAATCTCTTAAATAATTATGGAACTATTTAGGTTATCTATTTCATCTTGAGAGTTTTGGTAGTTTGGACTTTTCAAGGAATCAGTACAGTTCTTCTCAGTTTGAATTTATGTACATAGAGTTGCTTGTAGTATTCCCTGATGCTTTTTTTTTATTGTCTGTGAGATCTATAGCAGTATTTTTTCTTTCATTCTTGGTATCAGTAATAGTGTTCTCTCTCTCTCCTCTCTCTCTCTCTCTCTCTCTCTCTCTCTCTCTCTCTCTTCCCCTCTCTCTCCTCCCAACCCTCCCTTACTAGAGGCCCATTAGTTTTAATGATCTTTGCAAAGAACCAACTTTTGGGGTTTTTTTTCCCCCTATTATTTTTCTGTTTTTGATTTCATTAACTCTGCTCTTCATGTCTTCCTTTTTTCCCATTGCTGCCATTAAGAGACTGCCTGGGGACTGGCGCATAAGGGAACAGAGACAATAAAAAAGAAATAATGGGTTTTTGTACTATTCCCGAGTGTTAGGAGTTTCCTTTCCCACCCCTTGAACAAGCTTCTCCTGGAGCTTTCTCTGCTCCCTGGTGCCCACTTCTGACATCCAGACCACACTGTGTTTAGTGGTACTCCAAACTCTGGTCTTTTTCCCCAATTTGCTTGCTACTATTTACTTTCTGGAGGCCTCATACATTCGTGCAGGTTTATAGTTGCAGTCGATCATAGTAACCAGGTGGAGTTTCTTTCATCTGACCCAGAACTGAAACTCTCCCCCACATTCTTTGAGCCAATTCAGAGAAGGGTATGGGACCTAATATATAGGACCAGCTTGTTTCCCACCACCACTGCTGCTCCGTCTCCATGGGCTCATCTTCCACCTGCACTACCTCTACCACCAGAACATCTCCATGAGTCCCACAGGGGTCCTCTGCAGTAGGGTTAAGACAACTTTGAAGATTGGCACATCCGACACTAGACAGATCCCAGACAGCTAAGAAGTCTCCTCTCCACACTGCCCCCTGCCCTATCTTCAGAGATCAATTTCTGCTACATGAGAATGAGTAGTTTGTTCCAAAGGGGATACTTGGAGAATTCAGTCTTGGGGCATTGTGTTCAAATGTGGTCCTGAAGGCCTTTGGTTGGTACCATGAAATTCTCTTCCAGGCCAGACTGACAGTTCATGAGATGACAAGGTTTTTCCTAAAGGAAAAGCAAGCGTGCTCACGGCTCGTGCAGATTCCCGGCAGTCTCTTCTGATGCTAGGTGAATTTGTTCCAAGTTTCCAGTGCTCTGCTAAGAATGCAGGGTCAACCAGAGCTGGGCATCCACATGATCCTCATAAAGGGGAGTGCCAATTCTCCCGGTACAGTTAGAGAGGAAAGACCCAGTTGCAACAATGCCCTTGCCGGCTTTATGGAGAGGGCAAATAGAGAGGAAGCCTGACACTAGATGTGAAACCCATCCTTTCCCTACATGCCTGCCTGAACCAAAGAAGCCTTGTATTACTATACAAGAGCCTGTCTTTTTAATATATTTTAAAATTAAAGTCAACATGGAAATGGGCGGGTGGCTCAAATTGAATGGGCATTGTGCACCAGGCTAGTTATCTCCCTGTTTGTTACACAATAAAAGAGGATCAGATAAACACAGGCATAACCTCTGCCTCCATTGATAATGTAAATCATCCCTTGTATCATTTGTCTTTCCTTCGGGCTGGATACAAAAGGCACAGAAATGAACAATTCATGCCTAAACATAGGAGAGCTTGAAAGCTAGTGTATGTCAGATGTTTATTCTAGGTCATCATTACGGGGTTGAGTGGATTTGCTTATAAACACAGCCTATTCTGTCAGTGGGGAGTGGGAGAGACAGTTTGTTTTGTTTTGTTTTGTTTTCTCCAGCGTGGAGACAGCTCTTTTAAAGACACATGGCAACTTTTCTGCCATGCACAGTAAGTTATATAGATAATTCTTTTCACAGGATATGAAATGTTGTTCCCTGAGCAGTGCAAAGTATAATGTGCTATAGAAACAATGCTTTTTTCTCTCCACTGTGTGCAAATGCCATTTTTCATTACCCTCTGAGTGGAAGCCTGCAAGAGATGGAGATGAGAGCAGGGCTCCCCTCCCGCCGATGGTCAGGACTTCCTGACGCTCAGCGGAGACCTCGGGGAGAGCCTGAGGAGGCCTCCCCCCAGCCGCTTCCCCCACCGCCAAGTCTGAAGCACCAAGCCCGAGAAGGATGTCACGTCTTTTCACGTTATCCATTTCCACTGCCCAGGGTTTTGTGGGTGGTGGTTGCTGTTTTTCCCACCCAGTCCAACCAAAGGCAGCTAAAGAAAAAGTGCCAAGACAAACAGAACGAGTGCCTTGGGGACCCGGTAATGGGTACAGCGCGTGAGTGTGGTAATCATTCTTTTGATTTGTGCTCAGATATGTTTTCTATTTGCTTTCGCACAGAATGCACATTTCCCCCTGGATTGCAAATAATCTGAACCAGGGTAAAACCATTACAAAGTGGCCTTCAAACATCACGTCTGTATTGGAACTGAATGACTGATCAGACATTTAAATATGGAGCCTGGGAATTCAGGTAAATTGCACTGATACGGTTTTTTTTTCAAAACGTGCTCAGAGTTATTTAAATAATCTTTGCTTTCTTAGGTCTCTCTCTCTCTCTCTCTCTCTCTCTCTCATTATTCACCTACTTTTTAAAAAAGAATTTTGCATTTTTCCCTCTTAGTTTTGTTCTTATTTCAATGATTTGGTTTTATTCAAAAAACCAAAAATAAATATTTTTGCATCATTCCTAACAAACAGAGCACAGAGGGATGATGAGATGGAATTCTTGGCATCCCTAGGGTACCCGAGTAATCTCTGCCCTTTTTCTAGGCCATAAGAGTTGAGATAATCTACATCTTCTCACCTTGTCCTCAGTGTCTCCTGACCAGCCTCTTTGAAGTGGATCACAGGAAAAGAGAAAATACACATAGAATGAGTGCCTCAGCGACTCCCCACTCAGATGGGAGGGGAAAGGCTGGGCTGGGAAAGAGAAGAACGTGCCCACTGTGCTCTGGGTGAGCCTCTTGTCAGGCGGGGGGAGGGGGGACAGCAGTTGGGCGAAGGAGCCCTATTGTGGGGTTGGCTCTAAGTCCCAGGTTAACGTCAAGTGCTGGTTTTTCTTTTAGTTACTCAAGGATCAAAGGGAAATTATTCAATAAAAAGGAACTTAAAGGGGACTTCTGTGCCCACATAAACTTTAATCAAAAACACTTGCTCAAATGCAGCTTCCTTGGCCTGTCTCTCCTGTCCTTATTCTTACACATTTGTGATTAAAATAAGGTTTTCTCCATCACAATTCAGCATTCCCTTTTCCTCTCAGCTGACCAGACTTTTACAAGAGTGGCAGGCCCGTTGGTTGCTAAGGAACTGAAGACTATGTCACAATTCAGCATTCCGATGAAGAAGAGTAAATACTTCTCAACAGATTGGGTATTAAGCAGAAATGAGCTGTGTGTGTGTGTGTGTGTGTGTGTGTGTGTGTGTGTGTGTGTGCACGTGTGTGCATGTGTGGTGTTACAACTGACAGCCGGGGAGGAAGAGAAAGCACAAGTGCATTCCTGTTTGAAATGCTGATTATCAGCCACCTCTTCTAGAAAATCTACTCCTCATGCCCCTCAATTGCCTCTTACTTGTAAGAATACCCTCATGCGTTTGAACTTTTCACTCCACCTTGCTTTGCTCCCCTCTCTGCAGATCCGTGTTTCTTCACACCGCCGTGTCATGGATTTATCACACTATGACCTCAGTCACATCCTCCTTTAAAAGGAGTCAGGCACAAACTTCACAAAGTCTCTAACATTCTAGGTGTTCAGCAAGGAGGCTGGAACATGAAATTCCTCCCACTTGGAGCACACCCACGTCGATGTTTCTCTAAAATCTATTTATCTTAGTCACGACCTATGAACATGAATAGAATGTGGGGAATGTTCCTTGTATCAGAGAAAAGTTAGAGTTTATACAGTTGTAATTTCTAGGGAGGAGTGCAATAACTTCACTATTTTTTTTTAACACAATTCTTTAAGAGGCAGAACATTTGAAATGTGTCCTTTCTTTTTCTTTTGCACGATTATAAAAGTCTCTGCATCTCAGTTTGGTTCTCCTGCTATCAGGTGGCTCATTTTGTGATTGTGAGATTAAGCAAAATGGGAAGATCTGCCAGCAGATGATTTCACAAATGAATGGTACACATACAAGAATAGGTGAAGTACTCACCATGAATAAGAGAATGATTGGGTATAGGCAGAAAAGGAAACAGTGATCCTTGGAGAATTGAAGATAAGAGCTTAATTACTTACATAGACAAATTCTGGAAGGTCTGATCTGAATTTGACTGAAGGGAAGTAAACTTCAGTGGTCAAATCCTTGGGTGTTAGGCCAACATTTTGCTCTTGTCTGTTTCTACCGCAGTGCAGGGCGATTCTGAGGAATACATGTTTACTCTGCCTAATTGAGGAGTTGAGGAGGTTGGACGTTCATGAGGTTTCTGAACACTGGAAAGAAGAATGGTGTGTGTGAAAGGGAAACCAAAGGGTACTTAGAAATGAAAATGAAAAAAAAAATGTCCTGATAACATGGGAAAGTTCATTTTAGTGGGCTGGGAGAAGTCCAAACAAAATAGGTTTTAGAAAGAGGTGAAGTGGTTAAAAGACATTCACTCATCTGAGCTAGAACAAAACTATAAATGTAGAGTTTGACCCTGACCTCCCATAAATAATACAGGCATGTGTTGACAAGCAAACGAACTCACAGTATGTCACTTGACTCTGCCCATTATTTATACCCCTTGGGAATCTCTTTCAGTGCTCCTCGGGGTTTTTCCTCAACCACCCCCAAAAGTTTGAAGTCTACGCACAATCTAAGAATAAAATGTAGAAAGTACCTCAATCTAAATGCCTAATTGAATCTAAATACCTAATTGAAAATGTGTAATTGAACAGACAAACCTTTGAATACTACCAATATAAATTTGGCTTAAAGCGATTAGGGCTCTTGTCTTAGCCTCAAGTAAAAAGCATTTGGGAATTCAGCATATATTCTTTCCATCCAGGGCTCTGCCAAGGTGTAGAGGGACAAAAAAAAAAAAAAAGCAAGAATGGGCTCTGCCTTTGGGGAGTTAGGACAGGACAATACACCAAAGAGGCATGCAGGATTGCATAAGCAAAGCATTTTAAGAGTTGCTTTGGCCAAACATGCTACAGAAGAGATAAGTCATCAGAGAAGTCCTCTCAGAAAGGGAGATTCTTGTCCTGATCACCAAAGGAAATAGAGACAGAGAAGAAGGAAGAAGGTTTCCTTGGTACAAGGGAAGGCAAGGAGGCTGGGATACCCCTAAGATGACTAGGAATATTCTGGTTATCTGTTGGTGTGTAACAAACTACCTCAAAACTTAATGATTTAAAACAAATATTTTATTTTGCTCACAATTTTTGTGTCTCAGTAATTCAGGAAGGGCTCAGCTGGCTGATTCATCTCTGACCTACATGGCATCAGCTGGGACTGGGGTCCATTTCCAAGATGGCTTAGAAGTTTGGTGGAACTCATAAGTTTGGTGCTTGGAATCTGCGGTCTGTTTGTCTGTCTGTCTGTCTGTCTCTCTCTCTCTCTCTCTCTCTCTCTATATATATATATATATATATACACATATAGATTCTTATATTATATATATATATATATACATATATATATATATATATATATATAGATTCTTCCCTGCCATGTCTTGGACTTCTCACAGCATGGCAGCCTCAGGATACAGGGATTTCTTACAAGGCAGTTTATTTTTCCAAGACAGTATCCTGAGAGGCACAGGAAGAAGTTGCACGGTTTCCTATGACCTAACCTGGGAAGACTCAAACATCACGTCTACCACGTTCTAGTGTTCAAGCCGTTCATGAAGCCCAGCCTACAGTCAAGAGAATGGCAATTAGACTCCATCTCTCAATGGGAAAAACAGCAAACAATATGTTGCCAACTTTAATCAACCTCAGGGAACAATGAACACAGCAGAATAGCTTAAGGAAACGGTCAGTGCCAGAGAGCAGGGGCGAGCATCAGAGGATGAGTGTGGGGGGCTTTGAAGGTGAAGTTGACAGACTTGGACCCGTAAAGAGCAGTATGTCTTTCTCCGGGCAAAGTCTCTCTTGTGGAACTGCACTCAGATGACAGAGACCACCATGATCTCCTGGAGTCTCCAGACATTGGACTAGGAAAATGAAGGAGACTGAAATTCACCATCTGAATTTCTCTAACAGGAGATGCTGGTCTAGGCACATTTGGTGCTGAAGAATAGAAACTCATCCAAGCCAGCTTAAGAAAAACAAGGACCTGTTCCAAAGCACCGCAGACGAGCATAAGAGCATCCGAGGACAAGGGTAGGGGAGCTGGGTCACAGGAAGTCTGACAAGTCTGACACTGCAAACCCCAGAGCCAGGGTTACTTTCGGTTCCTGGCAGGGACTGAGGCCTCTCATCTCTTTGCCAGCTTTGATCTCTTGCTGGTCTCCACAGATAAGCTTTCCCACTGACTCATCAGAGCACACGTGATCGAAAATGGCTGCCCCAGGCCCACGTGGCCTTTGATTCCAAGCACCCAACGTTGTCTGATTACAGATTGGGTGTCTCTTAACTTGAATTCGTGAGAGGAAGCATCTAGTTCGATTAGCCCAGTCTATGCACTGGTTCCCCTTGAGCGAAATGCCCACTTTTGGTACATTCAGCAATGGCTTCCAAGCAGGCTTGGATGTTTAAAGACAGGTAACACGAAAGCATCGTCACCCAGCTCCCCTCCCACCATCAGTGAGAGCATATAGCTGGGGAGCAGTTCAAGACAGAAGGTGTAGGATGGCTAAACGACAAGAAGAATGACCAGGTGGAAAACATGCCAGCCTGGGGTTGGGGACTGGGGTGAGGACGGAACAGGCTGGTCCCTGAGCCACTCTCCACATTCCAAATTCCTTCCCTGATGGAGTCAGACCCATTCCCTGCTGGACTTGTCCTGGCAGCCTGGATGTGCAGAGCAGTAAAGCAATGGACATAATGGCCTGTGTCAAAGAAAATCCTTTCTTGTCTGGCTCTCACAGAGAATGTTAACACTCACAGTAGCATTTGGAGGTCTTGGCCCTCTCTTTCTACGTCATTCTCCAGCATGCATGTCTACACCCAAGTCATAAGGGAAAGATTGATGACATAAGTGGAAATGCTTTAATAATTTCAATGAAAATTGTTCATTTAAAAAAAAATGAGTAAGAAAACAAACCCCTGTTGGAGAGAAGTATTAATTGCACTTCATACCATCATAGAAAAATGTGAATCAGTATTTTCCTTTTTCCTAATTAGCAGACATGAATCAGGATAAGTTTTAAATTGATGAGAGTTCTTTCAATGCCAGAAAAAGATATTGACCTTCTTGTGGTAAAGGTAAGTATGAAGTACATTAAAATCACCATTTTTGCAGTAATCAAGTTTGCGTCTACAGTAACTTTGGACTATGACACTCCTTCAGAAATGCTGTCTGCTCAAAATTCTCCAAACAGCAGCACTGAATGGAATTCTGCTGGGGTAGAAGAATCGTGGCCAGGCAGTCAAAATCAATTTGTTCCTGTGATTGACATCAGGGCCTGTGTGTCAGCCAAGCTCTCTCACGCCATCTGTGCTCTGATTATGATCAATAGGTATTTGTGATATGCCCGGGAAATGTGCTGTTTGATTACTTGTACATGGGAGAGGAAACGAAAGAAAGCCTCAACCTGGAGCCTCCTTATGTGGATGTAGAAGCTGGTTGACGAATCATTAGAATATAGAGTTTGCACTGATAAACTTTTGAACTTTCATTGAACTTGTAGATTAAGAATAGGCAGTTTTTCCAGGAGGAAAATTCACCAGACAACCAACAATTTTTCTTTCACATATTTAAGCGAGATGTTCGATCTGGTAAGGAAATAATAGTAATTTATGTCTTTGATAATTGAGAAGGATTATAGTTCTATACACAGAAAAAGCAACCATCACCCGGGCCCTGTGAGTCACAAAGCCATTAAAGAGAAGCTTCCAGCTTAAAAGCAGATGAAACCTCCAGATTTGGAGGGTGGTGTTCTCCAAGAGCGAGTTAAGACAGGGGAGAGAAATCCCCATGTACTTGAAAAATTAGGGCCCCCTCTCGGCCTTCCTTCCAAACAACCATAATGACACTTTTCAGATTCAGCCCAATAACCCATACTAAAAGAAAATCACACATGCACAGAACCATTTCTCTTCGTGCACACGGATCCTTTGCATACACTGCCATGTCCACACATTACAAACCGACCTTCAGTGGGAGCAATGAAGCTGCTTTCTTCAATCTACAGAGACCCATCATTCTCAGAACACCCTTGCCCTGTAATCTGTAGGAACAGCCTGGAGCAGATTAAAGGTTAAGAAGGAAGATTGTTGACCAGCTGGAAACCTGTGTTTGGTACATTCAACTAACTTCAAGAAATTATTTTACTGATGAAATAGCATCAACTGAGATCAGGTTCCTGAGAGATGGGAATTATTAATTTTGCTGCCGTGACACTGAACAGCTTGTATTAAAAATACACACTGGCTTGTGGCTCTTTGGCCTGATTGGTACAATGCAGCAGAGATTTCAACTAAATGCTGACCACTCTGCAGTTCAGTTGCCCTTATTCATGATAAATCCTATCCCTTTCCTACCAAGATCTCTTCATTACAATGCTTTTGCTTCCCTAGAATTCAATGTGCATCAATCCTACCATTATTTTTAAGCATGTACCTGGCTAGATCCTCAAAATGAGAGAACACAATCTTTTTTCAATTGGAATGGAGACTTGTGCAAGTTTTCTCAAGTAATGCGGATTAGAACATGTTATAAGAAAGAACCTATGACCTGGTAGAGGAAAGTCATCATAAACTTGGACAGGTCTAGGAATCCCTTATTGTCTCCATTTCTCTCTTCCTCTCATGGCAGCTCTACCTCAGCTTCATGTTTGTGCTTACCAATTTGGCTTACTCATAGTTTCTGTTTCCTCATAACTGTAGTTTGCACATGACCTCTCATGACCTTGACTCTATCTCCCAGTGTTGAGTTTTAGCAATCACTGCTAACTGCCTTATTTGAATTCTAAAATGGAAGGAGAGAATTTTATTGTCCCCACTCACATTGCACATGGTCACATTCTTGGTTACAGGCCAGCCACTAGATGAACTGCTCTAGTGTTGACTACCCCACCATGGACCCATCCCTATGGCCAAATGGACCAAGTCAAGGGGTAGAATTACAGCTGCCCCTCCATCAGGAACAGTTTGATTCATAGAGGGCTTGGAGGCATCCTGAAGATGAGTCTGCCTGGTGCTGGGATAATGGGGTAAGTTACTGTGGAAGAGATGACATTTGAGATGAACATAAAAACGATCCCACGTATGGGCAGGCAAAGATGGAGCAAAAGTAGAAGTAACAGCACAGGCAAAAGCCAGAAATAGGAAGTATAGGGGGTATATCTGTGAGTATTTTGGTCTGGCTAGAGCAGTACCTCCCAAATTTTCTGTGCATGTGGATCACTTGGGGATCTTGCTAAAATGCAGAGTCCTATTCAATGGATGTGAGGCAGGGCTGAGACTCTGCATCTCTGACAAATTCCCAGGAGAGGCTGATGTGCTGGTGGTACACTCTTTGGGCAGCAGGGCTGGAACAAAGAGCATGTCAAGGCTGTGAATACCAGGCTAAGAAAGTGGTACTTACTCCACCTCGGTGAGTAATAAGGAGCCTTGAAGGATTTGGGAGAAGGATGATATAATCAGAGTAGTGGTAAAGGACAATTGGTTTGGCAATGCTTTGTGGGATAAATCAGAAGAGAATTGGAGGATCAGCTATTTAGCAATTGTAAAGGCCAGGAAAGAGGTAATAGGACTAAATCAGAGAGCAATTGCAGTGGAGGGGAAAAGAAGGGCTATATGAGATGAGATATGTGGCCAATTGAGCATGCCCTTCCTACTGTCCTCCCCAGTCTTGTCTTAGTTGACAAGAGAAGCAGCTTCCCCAGGCATCATCTGGTGTCATCTTTGTATGTCCTTTCTAGGGTGTCTACTTTTCATTTCAAATCACATCTAAAGATACATCCTCTCTTTTACCTCTAACCCTTAATTTCATTCGCTCTGCCTAACTGCATTTTCTATTGTGTGCAACTTGCTGCATGATTTAACTATATTATAACCGTGTAACTATGTTATTTAGCCATTACTTCATTGTGTACCAGTAACCAAATTCAGTAACTATATTCGTTCTGCTGAGGAGTTTTGTGGGAAGCATGTCTGAAGGGCACTAGGCAATGAAGTAAAGTCTATTACTGCCTTATCACCACCAGGAAAATGATCTGTTTGTTTGCAGTTCACTGAAGTACATAGCTAAAGAAATTGAAAGAGAGCTTGGGGAGCGTCTGAGTGAAGTCCAGATATGGAGATGGATGGACACTCTAAATACTATGCTGTGGTTTGAGATCCAAAAAAATGGCTATGACAATATGCAGCAGAGAGGTTTCCAAATCACCTTACGGACAGGGAAAGACAGACCCTATATTGGAATTCAGAGCCTCTGTTATTACCTGGCTTATACAGTTCCTACTATACATTTAAAGCCAAATAAAAGATAAGCTTGGTGTTAAATACAAACCCCAACTGAAATTTTCTTAAGGCTAAAGGCATCGTAATATGCTGAGATTGTGGATATAAATGGAGAAATCTGTGCTTACCTATAGGATTATTCATGCCATTTTGGGCTTGAACTCTACATGTTAAACTTTGGTTTTATAAGGCCCCTGTGCATTAAATAATTTAAATCCAATGAAAGAAAAGAAAAGAAAGAAAGAAAGAAAGAAGGAAGGAAGGAAGGAAGGAAGGAAGGAAGGAAGGAAGGAAGGAAGGAAGGAAGAAAGAAAGAAAGAAAGAAAGAAAGAAAGAAAGAAAGAAAGAAAGAAAGAAAGAAAGAAAGAAAGAAAGAAAGAAAGAGAGAGAGAGACTATCCATCCCTGGGGATTAGAGCTATTTTGATTGCACAAGAACATAATCGGAGTCAGAAACACAATGGAGGAAATATTCCCAAAGGAAATCAAGATTAAGATACACACTTTGGCCTCTTCCTACAAGCACCAACCTCCCAGGCCCACAGGTCATTTTGCTTGACAACGTCACATCGATTCACATTTCACAGTGTACTCTTAACTTCAGAATCTTAATGTGCTGGTTGGAATTAACTATATCTTTGGAGAAGAGCCTGATCTTGACCATGTTCTTCTTTGGAGAGACTTCCTGGTTGGTTGGAGGCATTGGCAAGATGCCTTGTTATTCTGGTAAATGGAAACCCAGGAAGAAATAAATTATACACACACACACACACACACACACACATACAAATACATTATACATATGTGCGTGTATAAAACTGAAAGTGTGGCATGTCCTTGCAGGACACTGGGAAACCATGCTTTGAAGAGAACATGGATTTAGGAAGAGGGTTCCATGTTCAATAAGAAATGAGGGAGTGAGACTTCCTGTATTCAGTGAAGGCAATAATAATGGGTCCAATCCCTGTCCCCAATATAAGACATAAAGTGTAGTTCAGGCCACTAGGAAGCTGTAGGGAAGACAGAGAAAAGGCTTCAGGAGAGTGATGTGAACCTGTGTGAGTCAGTGGGCAGGGAAAGGAACTGAGATACTGCCAAGCCCACGTCCCATCCTTGGCTTCACTCCATGTTGGGGCACAGGATTCTAGTCAT